AAAAGAAGGGGCTGCCCCAAGCCAGCCATCTCCTCTACTTGCATTAGTCTTAGTCTTTCTGCTTAGGACTAGCCAGGGCTTTGAAACGCTGAGAGGAGATATGCAGTCGAGAGAGAATACCTCTGTCTGTATTTGTCCCACCAGTAAGAGGGGAGATGTTTGGAGGAGGCTAGACCTTGAAAAGAACTTGATCTGATTTGTAATATACAGAACTTGTCCTTTGGAATTCGAGTTCTTGATTGTCTCTTTGAAATATCAAGTTGTATACAACAGCTGCTGCAACTATAGATGTCAATTTGTTTACAATGAATCCGACTACTTTTTTTTATTTTTCTGATAATCTTTGCATAGCTCAGCATGTACTAAAATGTTGCTGTCAGCTTGTCATAGATGGGATTATTCTTTTGTAACCAACTATTCTCTACATGTATTTCAAGCCACGCCTCTTACAATTCTTGCAAACTAAATAGGCACAGGGACAAACTTTTGAAACTATCTATTTTGTACATAACTTGACTACTAATTAAAAAGGTTTTTCTATCTCACTTGGTACGATAAAATGTAAACTTAGTTAACGAATAGATGTGCAATGCATCAATGACCTAGGGAAGTCAAATTTAGGCATTATGTTACCATGCTAAAAAGATCGATCAAATTATCTCTTGTTAGCCTAATTCAAGTGTTATGTCACATGTGCACAGCTTTGCTGCTTCCATTGGATAAGTAGGAAGTATGTTGACCATAACTAGCGTGTTTAGTCGAGAAGTAGACACTGTTATGTAGGGTATTTAGGCAGATGAGTATAATGGTTAAGGTTAAGCAAAATTTTAGATTTTAGAAAAAACATGCCTTCATGCAACATCTTTTGTCATGTGCTCATATGGTGCATATTCAATTTTGTATCCTACAAATGGGATAATTTGTTTCTTGTGCCGTCTTTTTGTAGTATCTTGTTGGTGGAATACTCTTGATAAAATCCCTGTATAATTTATAAACAATTTATTTTTGGCTATCTCATCCTTATCAGCTGAAGTCTTTTTCTGTATTTGCAATTTTTGATCAGTAATGTGTGAAGGTTCAAAGTTCTATGGGGTTTGATTGCTAAGCACACGAGGATAGGATTGATTCGAGTATTCAACAATCCGTGACCATTTTTTATTGATCCATTTGCAGTCAGTCTCGTTCTACTTCATGTTCAATTACTAAACTTGACAACACCAATTTACCTATACAGCTAGATTTTTCCTTTGATACATCCTACAACAAATAACTTTGAGCTGAAAAGGCGGTGAAAGCTAGCGTATGGAAATTAAACTTATTTTGCAGGATGTGGTAGTATTGTATTGATTTTGAACCCGACAAGATCAAGATTATCTAATATGAGCTAGATTATGTGTCAAACATGTGTATAATCATGTTTTGCTTTTTTTTTGTATGCATGATTTTTTTTCTTTTATTATATTGCTTCTAAAGTTTATGGTCATTTTCTTTGGTTTTTCACTTGCATGTTCCTGTTTTTTCAATTCTTTACGTAGTGGTTCGGTACATAGGAACCTCATGGGACCAATCCACGTCAATCGAGCCGATCCAAACGATTTAGTTAATTAAGCAAGGGATTGTCACCACCTATCAGGGTGGACGAAGGGGATCTAACTCAGTCCCCCTGTGGGTGATTTCTCCCCTGGACGACGAGATCCACGATATCCAAACGAAGCCCAGGACGATCCATGTACAGGTGATTGGTGTCTATACAGTGGCTATATACAAGGGGTGTTCAAACTTCAATGATAGTGTGAGCGGTTTAGACGGCCAAATTTAACCTTTGACCACCCAGGATTAGTTCACTTGCATGCACTCCATGCTTTAGTTTGTTCCTCAACAAATCCCTGTACGTGGCTGTTGAGTCAATAGTTTGGAGTTGACTAAACCTATGTGCGTCTTCAGGCCTAATTGCTACATTTTCTTACCATATATATTCATTTTATATGTGTATGCATGGTATAGAATTTCTTTGCTTTTTAAGTTTGGTCTTCGGTTCGGGCTCCACCACATAGGTGAGAGATGCCTAAATTCATTATGTCTAGGTGAAAAATCATATGGACCATTGACAGCACAAGGCATGGCAAGGCAGGAGATGCCTAAATACATTTTCTTCTTTTTTTTCATTTTATTTTATCCTTTTTCTTCAACTTGTGCAGTATTTTAGAAGTTTTCATGTTCCACACATGGCGTATCAGTATCTTGTAATGTTTTTTGCGAGACCCATGTAGACACTAACATACACGAGCGCACACTCAACTCTACGAACGCACGCACGCACACCCTATCCCTACCATACCAGATGATATGTTCTCAATTATTCACATAGGAATCTATTATGTGATTTTTCTTTTATTCTATTATACTTTATATTTTATTATTTATTTAGTTTGGTTTTTATTTTTCTTTTCTCTTCAGTTCCTTTTATTTAAAAAAAAACTCGGCCTGCGGTGGACAGACAGCCCGCGCAACTTTGTGCTTAAGGTAGAAGAGACCTTTCACGCAGGCCGAGAAAACCCCCGAACCCCATGCCCCGCCCTCACATAGGGGTCCGTTACCCTGTGAGTAGGCCGATCCATTTACCTGTGCTTTGGGAAACACGGGACAGGCGAGGGGATTTTTTTACCTCTGACAGGCGAACGAGCGCACCCGCGGGGGCTCGAACCCTGCACGCGAGGGTCCTTATTTTATTTTTATGTTTGTTTATTCTTTTTTGTTTTATTCTAATTTTTTTTCTTTTTTCTTTTCATGTTATTTTGGTTTCTTTGTTTCGTGAGATCCCTCTGTTCCAAAATATTGCACATCTTCAAGAAGTTAATTAACTAACCTAAAGTTTGACTATAGATAATAAGGAGAGAGAGTGACCCTCCAGCGCATAAGACTGTCTCCAACGAGGAACCCATATGGGCACCCAAACCCAAAATAGGCAGCGATGGATCTAAAATCAGCCTCCAATAGAGTACCTATCCGGGTGACCTATTTTTGGTTGCCTGAGAGACACAATCCAAATATATACATCCTCTCTCCTGGAAACCCATTTACAGAAAGGATTCTCTTTTGGATCTTGTTGTTGGAGAAGATGCTGAATAGACATTAAGTCTGCAGCGCTACCCAAAAGATGAATAGATCTTTTATTTTGGGTGTTGCTTGTCGGAGATAATCTAACAAACCAAACTACGTAAGTGTGAATGGCCGTCGTATATGCAGTCATGAAGACACGCTCATGCCTCATGCAGTCATTCTGGTGCCCCACACTAACACCCACACCTCCGCGCTAGAGGCGGGACAGGCCGAGCCATACCACGCTTTGCCGCTTCGGACGTGACCGGCATGCGAGGTACGTCCGACTACGCTACTATGGACATGGTAAGTCCTTCGGCCCAAACACACCTTCTTGTCGTACCCGTCCAAGCAGGAACCTTAAAATGTCTTTGCTTATTTTCTTTATCCGCTCATAACATACAAAAAATATATTTTATTTGTACTATTTTTATGAATTTTTTTAATAATTTCATAATCCCATTCAAGAATTAGATAATAAAAATTAGATCGTAACAACACCGTGGATGCACTTATGTGTCATTTCCGTGCTGTGCTGGCCTAAGCACGCAGGGCTGGTCCTGAGTCTCCGTGGACCCAGAACGAAACTAAAATTTTGGACCTTTTTATATAAACATAATAATACTACTAAGTACTATTTATATATTGCTAGTATATATATACACACATATACGAAATATTACTATTCATATGAAATAATTTGTATATACATGTTAAAATACTTAAAAAAATTCTTCTAACATTCATCGATGCGAAATCATCAGTGAGGATGTCAATATCAATCTCATCCAACAAACGCTTCTCAATGCATAATGTTATTAATTCATTTAACCTCTCTTGTGACATTGTAGATCTCAAATAGTTCTTTAGTAATTTTAGTTTTGAGAAACAATTAGTCGCCCTGTTCGTTTGACTTATAAGCCGTGCTTTTTCAGCCAACGAACAATATTTTTCTCTCACAATAAATCAGCCAACAATACTTTCAGCCATGGCTTATCAGCCAAGCAAACATGCCAAGTATATGCAATTTCAAATAATATCAATACGCTAGCAAAAAAAATCACAAAGATTAAACAATTATACACTACCTTAGGAGTCTAAGTGCCTGACACATTAATATTTGAATACTCTAGCGTCGGTCGTACATTGTTAGGGATGACAGAGATTTATACGTGATTTGTTGGTTGCTGCTGCCTGCCTGCTGAAAGCATGGCTGCCTGGAATACGTCGTCGCCCTATGCGGATCACCGTGCAGACGTGCTCCGCTGGCGACTCGCTGCCTGGCGGCGGCGGTGCCTACCGTGAGTCGTGAGGAAGCCGATAAGTCAGAGGAGAGAGGAGACGAGTCGCGTGATCACGGAGACGTGGATAAAGACATACTGTGTTGATTTATCTGCCGTATGTTTACTGGGCTCAAATGCTGAATATTAGTACTAATCTGTGTATCTGGGGAGGGCCCATCGGCTCCATGGACCTGGGACGGCAGCCCCTCTCGCCCCGCCCCAGGGCCGGGCCTGTAAGCACGACCCAAAATACAGACAACCCATCATGCGAAATCTTAGAGATGACAATGGCTGTCGCATTCGTACCATACAGAAACGATTCTCAAAAAAAAAAAAAAGATTCAAACTGTTTCGTGTCATTGCTTGCTTTGAACCATGAAAGAAAAAACAAAAACCATAACGAAATCCAGCACGGCCCCGCGGCCCACCCGCATTTTCCTAGCCGGACTCCCCGCAACAAGCGGATTCCCGCCTCCCGCGTGCTCTCAGTTCTCAAACACCCTGCGTCTGCCTCGCCGCGCCGAGGGGAGCGGGCCGACTCGCCCGCCACGCACCGCCGCTACATCCTCCCTTACTCACGGCGGCGTGACACCTTCAGTTTTATTTACACCGAAACCAATGGCCTCCGGCGGCGCGCCGCCGACAGTTGCCGTCGCCGTGGGCCCCGGCGGCAGCGGCAGCCGCCTCGCCGCGCGGTGGGTCGCCGCGGGACTCCGCGACGACGGCCGCGCCACCGCCATCGCCGTCGTCCACGTCCTCCCCGAGCTCTCCTACGTGCCTTCCCCGAGTAAGCTCTCCTCCATCTCGGCCGACGGCTATTTGTTCATCTGTTCCCCATTCCGAAATGGGCGCGAGCTGACATGGTGGTCTGTCGCTGCTGCTGCGGCGGCGGCGCAGCGGGGGAGCGGGTGCCGGTGGCGCTGGTCGGAAGGGAGCCGGCGGAGGCGTACGCGCGGGACCGGCGCGCGCGCGCGGAGGAGGCGCTGCTCCCGTTCCGCCGCCTCTACTGCTGTGGCCGCGCGAACGTCACCGTGAGTGCGCCGCGCGCAGAAAGCTCGCATTTTTAGCGTAGCGCCCGCCGGCGCCGCTTGTGTTTCGGTGTGACTTGGGATGGGATTTCTCCGCGCGCGCAGGTGGAGACGGTGGTGGTGGAAGGCGACGGTGTGGCGGAGGCGCTGCTGCGGTACATGCACGAGTCCGGCGTACGGAGCCTGGTACTCGGCTCCGCGTCCTTCCGCTGGTTCCGGAGGTAAGTTACTGTTTGTTTTTTATTTCCAATTTGTAATTAAGAAAAAGAAATGTCAAAACATTTACTTCTTGCCTAGAAAAAAAAACAAAAAAAAACGAGCATTTTAGCTCACAATCAACATCGTCTTCCTCCCGCCGCATCCGTTCTTCCAGACTTCCACAAGCTCCGATCCACACCCCTGACGCTGCCGCGGTAGGATAGGGTCCCACCATGTGCCCACTGCTTCCGCCTCTATGGTGACCCCTGCCCCCTACCTTACTCGCCGGCCGCCTCCACTTGCCGGTGGTATCGCCCGCTGCCATCGCTAGGCCGGCCTGCCACCATGGTGCCTCTGCTGGATTCCAAATGAACTCCAATCCCGAATCCGAGCTCTAACCTCGTCGGAGACGGGATTGAAGAAAATAGGAAAGAATCCTGGGACGTCAGACAAACACAACACCAGATCGGACGGATGGAAAATCAATGATGTAGTATCTGCTTTTTGGGAGGCTCTTGTCCTTTCTAGCATTGAATTGGTGGATTATGGCTATGGTTGGGGCATTCTCACTGTGCAGTTTTGATTCTGATTTGATTAAAGGTGATCAGCAAAAAGATCGGCTTCTTTTTTTGCTATAAATTTTACTTTTTTGGTTGAGGTTGGATTTAATTTGAAAGGTGCACGGAGCAATGTCTTTAATCACGACTAAAGTTTACTTTCTGACGAGCTTTCAAAAAAAAAGTTTACTTTTGGCGAGATTAGTAGATCTCAAGTCACTCAGCGTCTGGTATCCCTATACTGTATCATCCTATCGATGTCTTCAGTTCCATGAGGATCTGATGTCCAGTTTCAGTGATCGTCTACGATAATCCAGAATTCCTTCATCGAAAACTGCATTTCTATTATTCATTGCGACATTCGGACTGACTTAAAATCATCAATCAAACCTATTTTTGGTGGAAATGTAGAATGGACTCCATGTTTAGAATGAGTTTGTTCCCGTACTCTTTCTCGTGTTCTTCGTAGTTTAAGATGTGTTTGGTTTATGAGAGATGATTGTCCAACATAGTACATAGGGGACCCTGTTTTTAGTGGTGTTAGGTTTTAGGATAGTCTAGACCAAGTTATCAAACTAGGGGAACGTACATTTCCCTCAATGCTGGACCAGCCATCTAGCAAAATTGGTTGCAGGAGCTCATCCACCTTCTCTAATCTTGATCATGAGTAAACAACATATTAGTGATAATTAGTACGTTATGTTGTTAATTCCGATGGCAATATTAGTGTTGATCAGTGTTACTACATTGATAAGTGCATGATTTGTTTGTCAATTAGGGTAGGATTAGTGCTAATTCACATAACTTGTTTTTAATATTAATTATCTAGACAAAATCAGTTTTGGTAAGTTTTAGTGTATAATTACTAGTTAAGATATCTAATCAGTCAGATATTCCCATCCGCTCTCATTCATATAACAAAATAAAAAACAATAGCTCATCCTATCCGGTCAACCAAACCCAAAATTTAGACGGCTATATCTTTGAAAATATGGATAAAACCATGGTGCCCAACCTTGCCCTCAATCCAAACACACCCTTACTTGGTGCACTTTCTTCTGGTGTTAGCTTCCATAAATTTGACTACAAGCTGTTTGGCTGATGGTTTTTGTGGCTGATAAGCCGGCTGATGCTGTTTTGTTGTGAGAGAAAAGCACTGTATCATGGCTGATAAGCCGGGCTGATAAGTCCTTGTTCTTCTCTGCTGGATTTTGTTTCCTGGTTGTGCATATAACCCCATCTAACTAATTCAGAGCCTGCATGATAATTCTGCTTTGCTGTTCTTACAAATTTGTATTTAATATTTATCACCTATCCACATACCTATTTTATACGCATATATCGTGATTTTTGCAGTGAGGCATTAATTGTCACATTGTCCATTTGACCATTTTGCAGGGTGCTGAGCATCCCAGATGTCCCCGGTACTGTCATTCAAGCTACGCAAAATTCATGCAATGTATTTGTTGTGTCCAAACGGAGACTAATTATGAAACTCGCAAGATATCCTCAAACGAGCGGTGTGTTCTGAGCCCTAAAATCTTCTACCCCATATACTGCACTGATTCCGTGTTTCCTTTTGCTTATTTTAATGAGCTCATTTTGTCTTTGGGATATCAATTTTGCAGAATCTAACACAAACTTGAGGATCGAGTCCATTAGTCATAAAACATTTGCACTATCACATAGGAGTTTACTGTTTGACAACTTTGGTGATGATGAAGCACAATCAGATTCATTCTCCCAATCCCACAGCTCACATAGTGCTTCTAATGTTGTTCCAAGTTCAGAAAGTTCCGGACAAGTTACTTCAGGAAGTTCAGGAGTAAATTGTGCAGGAACAGAAGGAAGTAAGAACTATGATTCTCTTAGCTCCTTGGGGGAAGATCCTTGTGCTGCCTCAAACTCCAGCGAAGAGGTCAGACATATCGTTGCGCATAAAAATTTGAGATGCATTGCTTGCTTCTAGGACATGCTAAACATGTTTTTTTGTCCTTACTTACAGTGCCAATCTACAGATGAAGTGTCCAAACTAAGGAAGGAGCTGCAGGAAACCTTAGTAGTCTATGATAAAGCTTGTGTAGACCTCGTCAATGTTAAGAAAAAGGTTAAACTTTTCCCTGAATCTTTTTGTATCTTCATGATTTCTGATGCCAAATGGCTATGCTATTCAAATAGTGTACATTCTTTATGTTATGCATAATCTCCACTGAATAACTTAAACTATATACTCTAAACTTTGCTTCCATGTTATCATCATATCACACAGATTCAGGTACTTTCTATGGAGTGTTCTGAAGAGGCTAGGAAGGTGGAGCATGCACTAGAGTGGGAGGAAGCTTTGAAGCAGATGGTATGTGATGAGAAGGCGAAACAGCTCGAGGTCATCAACGAAGTTGAGCAAGCAAGAAAATCGTTCACCCGAGAGGCTTATTCAAGGTACAAGACAGAAATGACTACCAGCACGTTCTCTCAGGATAAGGTGCAGATTGTTGATGCTATTTTGTCAAAGAGCAGAAGTTGCAGGCGGTATTCAAAGAAAGATATAGAACTTGCCACTGATAACTTCTCTGAAGAAAGGAAGATTGGTGAGGGGGGTTATGGCAATGTGTACAGGTGCACCCATGATCACACTGAAGTAGCTGTGAAAGTCATTCAGGAAGATTCCATTGACAAAACTGATGAGTTCTTGAAGGAGGTAACTAATGATTCCTACATTCCAAGATACCATATCTTCTTATGAACCGAAAGTTGTCTGAAACAATTCGATTGTGTGGTATTTTTTTGCAGGTTGAGATTCTTAGTCAGCTTCGCCATCCCAACCTGGTTTTGTTGCTTGGTTTCTGTCCAGAAATTGGCTGTCTGGTATATGAATACCTGAAGAATGGGAGCCTAGAAGACCAGCTCTTCAATAGCAAAGGGTGCCAACCACTGCACTGGTTCCTCCGGTTCCAGGTCATCTTTGACGTGTCCTGCGGGCTTGCATTCTTGCACGCAAGAAACCCAGAGCCTATTGTCCACCGTGACCTCAAACCGGCCAACATCTTACTGGACAGGAACTACGTGGGCAAGATCGGCGACGTCGGTTTCGCAAAGCTCATCTCTGATCTTGTGCCTGACTGGCAAACCGAGTACAGGGAGACGATCGTCGCCGGCACACTGTACTACATGGACCCTGAGTACCAGCAGACCGGGACCGTTCGTCCCAAATCTGACGTGTTCGATCTGGGAGTTGTCATTCTGCAACTCCTGACTGGCAGACGCCCAAATGGGCTCATTGTGAGCGCAGAAAACGCTGTGAGAAACGGCAGGCTCTCTGACATCCTCGACAGATCTCAGACCGATTGGCCACTTGCCTGTTCGCTTGAACTTATCAGCTAGAATCTACAGTATTTTTCTCTCATAACAAAACAGCTCCAGCCGGCTTATCAGCCGGCTTTAATACCAGCCGAACAGATGTTTGCGAGGCTCGGATTGAGATGCACGGCCTTGAAGTGCAGGGATAGGCCTGATCTTGAGGCAGAGGTGCTGCCGAAGCTCGATGAGATCCTACACAGGATTACTTCTGCTGTCAATTTGAGAAACCCAAAACTGAGTGTGCCAAGTCACTTCATCTGTCCTATAACACAGGTAACTCGTGTGCAGAATTTCAATCGGTTTCCAGCTCTCTTTCGCTTGTGCTTACCAGAATGAAATTTGGGTGCAGGAGTTGGAGGATCCTCACGTCGCTGCCGATGGCCACACCTATGAGCATTACGCGATCAGGGCTTGGCTCAAGAGGCACAAGACATCGACTGTTACGAGGAGGAAGCTCCCGAATTCGTCCATAATTCCGAACCATTCGTTGCGCGCCGCGATACAGCAGTGGAAGTCACAGTTACCAGCAAACGAGTGAAATGGGAGTCAGGTTCATATCTCTTCTTGATTCAACTGTAGTGGTGAAACTATTTTCGCGAGCACGCAAAAAGCCTTTGCTTTTCGGATTTTTATAAGTTGTTCAACCTGTAAATGAGAAAGGGGCAGCTGTAAAGCAGAGAATCACGAAGGACGACTTTGTAATTGGAGTGACAGGTTTTGTGGCCATAATAATGGTCATCAGTTTTGGAACAGAGCAAGCTTAAATGGTTTCTTGCTATTTATTACTCTCCCTCTCCGAATATCTGTTCGGCTCACGCAGCGGCATAAAAAGTTTTAGTGTTAAGCTAATGTCACACTCGGTTTTAACGATAAAATCGAGTGCATATCAATATACCGTAGGATCAATTTGTTCATACATGCGATAAAAATATCAGTGATACATTGCAGTGCTTATTACATAAACGATAATTTATTATAAAATGACCGAAGGATCTAAACTAATATTTCGTAAAGTTCCAACGAAGCTGGGTTCACATCTCCCCACTCCAAAGGTACACCAGCCTAACTTTAGCATCGTCTTTACGGAAACTCCATCCCATCAAAATAGTTGGGTGGGGTAGCAATGGGACAAAGAGGAAAGGATTGGATTGGTTGGATAGATTTCGACCAAGACAAAATGAAGGTCTTCATAAATCTCAAACTCTCTTTTACACATATTTTATAAACCTTTTCAAACTCTATCTTTTTGAAGCCCTTTTTAAGTACCAACTACACTTGTTTTTTAAACTTAGTTTTGAAATAAAATTTGGAATAATTTAAACTACATTTTAAAGCATTAAATTTTAAACTAGTTTTTGAAAATATACTTTGAATCTTTATATTAAAAAAGAATAAAAACCTATCAAAGATTAAATGGATTTTAAATTCATTTTTCACACAATTAAATGTAACGACATGAATGTAAACCAAACAACCTTAAATTAAATTATAAAAAAATTACAAAATCACATTTGCGTGGTTTATATTGTCAAAAAACTATTTAGATCTTAGAAAATTTATAAATCATACTTCATAGAAGACTGGTTCATATAGATAGAAAACTGCTTGCAGGGGTGTCGGGGGATCCTTCGTCATAGGCGCGCGCCGGTTGGACGAAAGCTTTTGAGCCTTTTTAGTTCTAGATAGACTATAGACATATTTTATTTAGTGTTTTTTATTCACAACTTAAAATAGAAATGTTTCTGTGCATAATTAATTTTAAAAAATCATGTTTTATATAAAACCACTAAATGAAATAGCTTTTGGAGGAGGTCTCACTAAATGTCATAGCATGTTAGTTTAAATATTAGTTTACAAGTTGGTTTCCTAGTCATTAACAATAAATTGAATGGCTTTCTATGTATATTTTGCCTATGCATTGTCCATCAAGTCAGTGAAGTACATCAGAGATTGAGTCATCCTCGACCAGTCAACCCGGCCCACCCTCGCCTCGGGAGTTGATTATGGCCTTAGTAAGGGTATCCAGGGCTCATGTAATTGACATCAGTCTTCTTTGGTAACCACTAATAAAAATTGATTTCTAGTAGCCACCTCAGAAAAATTGTTCATAGGAACATTTGAGCGAGAATCCCACAACTTTAATAGCATTTAGGCGAATTCCACTAGCTCTTCGGGTAAAATTTCAATTTTCTTTGCAATAGCGAACATCGGATCGAGAGCATAAGAGATATAAGACGATCGCGAGCACTAGGAATGGGTACTCAATTGTAGGCTATACAAGGTCTATTTGGATCCCTTTCTATAAACTTTAGAGATCTAAAAACTTTAGAGCAATTTAGCTTAGATTTGATATCTAAAGCTTTAATATGGGGTGGGCTAAACTTTAAAGCTTACTTTAGACCACCTGAGATCTAAAGTTTAGAGGAAAGGATCCAAACGAATCCGTAGCCGGCTCGACTTTGGGCGAAGTTAGGTGTGCGGTATACCTGAAGCTGAACTCATCGGGGACACCTTAGCATGGCCACAGCACGGTCGAGGAGAGGGCATCGCCGCTGGCGTCGAGCATCCGCTTGGCGGCCGCGATCATCATCATGGATAATTGGACATGAAGTGGCACCCAGATGCTCAGCACGGAAGGAACAATTTAAGGAAGATGAATCATGGACTAGGCGTGCTCTTTTGCTGCACGTTCTGTAGTGATTACGCGTCAGAAAAAGAATGAGAACATTGGCTTTATTAGGTAACTAGTCAGCCCCTCCGCGCATTGCGCGGGGCGAGAATACCAATCTTTGATAATAGTTACACTAATTATGTATTAAGATGTAAAAAAATTAGAAATACTCCAAGTCAATTTTTCGAAGTATATATTAAAAAAAAAGATAAATATTAGACAGATTACAGAACTTAATGTTTTTCTTCAAATGCTATCTTGTAGTTATTCTTCAAATGCGATCCCGTAGAGCTGAATTGACGTTGGCACCCTGGTATCGCTCTTTTCATCAAGGGGCCGCTGGAGTAGTAAGGAAAACACACACACACACACAAAAAAAGAACGTTACGCCATTCATTAGCCTATTTCTTGCCTTTGATGCCAATGATTTAGCAATCAGAAGCGTAAAGATTATTTTCACGAAAAATAACTAACCGAACAGGATGAGAGATTAGATTGTCCGAAGTGGGTTCATCTTGTAAAGGTGGATAGATGTCTTTTTGGTTTTGTTTGCCGTAAATTGTGCACCTATGCATATAAGGTAGGCAGAATATTCCATAATGAAAAAAGGTAATTCAAACCAAAAGCAATCAAGTTTCTAGTATGGCTATATCATCAAAGACTGAAGAAATGAACAGTGAGTGATGTTTAGTAAGGCTATATTGTTTCCTATTAAATTTTCCTCTAACAGGGATTCCTTCTTAAGCCTAACATGGAACCAATTCAGAGAGGAAAAATTAAGAGGCGTGAACTGAAATTTGTACAGGACAGATAACTTGCAGCATGGACACTATGTAGCATTTTGATGTGGTTAGTAAATGAAATCCAAGTCCAAAGCTGATGCAACGCATTCAGTTAAACATAAAGCTTGTTAATTAATGGATGAATTCAGTGGAGCATCCTTACGATAGTAGAACAGCAGTAGCAGTAGCAGTTCTGAAATTAGCTTGGTAGCCTAAAGAATAAAAGTTTGATGTACCAAAGTAATCAGAAATTGTAAAAACTCAGGTTTCTGTTGTAGATCATGCACCTATGTGCAGTACTGAGGAAGGCTATAACTAAAATAGCCATCTTATCTGCAAATACATATAGTGGCATAACTATTAAAAATTAGTTTTGAGGATCAAATATGATCAGATGCAAAATGGAAGGAGCAACATGGTGAACTCATGTGCTGTTGAAGCTTCGTATAACAATACTCCCTAATCTTAAAATTTCGCATTCAACAATAGAAAGAGAGCCTGATTCACTCAAGTTTCATAATAGTCATACCCAAAAGCAGGACAGATTCACAATGAGTGGAGCAATGTTGGTGAGCGGCAACCATAAATTGTAGATCAGATGGTGTAAGCATTTTTTTTGTTATGGTGCAAGTTTTTTTTCGTTAGCATGGACCATCTGTCCGAACTCTGAGCCCTGGGGCTTTGATAAGAACTAAATTTACTTGGTGGACCATGGGGAAAACAATGATAAAATCTAATATAGAAGCATGCATACGGTATATTAAAAGCATAGGTACTGGTCTGATTACCTCGGCACATCAGCACAAATACGTTGTACTTTTACAGCTTGAACACTGATCCAATCGTTTGAACCACTGAAAAACTTGGAGAGCATGAGCTTCATAAATCAACCATAAATATAAATGAACTAACAGTAAGGTAACATATTTCTATTTTCTAATTGTCATGCATCATATATATGTACTTGAAACTTTATGACACTTAATTTGCTGGAACAATTAAGAACCCGGCAGATCAGAGGAATCAGTGTCGTAAAGAAAACCTCATGTATGTTCTTTGACATATCTGGAAATAAAACTGAACCCAACAAATTCGGTCCAGAACAAACGTCTGGTATTACGAAGGAAGGAAAACGAAATTGTAAAGCGAATGGTTAATGATTCAAACCTTGCAGATCCATCTTTGGCGTTTCCTTTTTTGAAGGAGAGGGACGCTGTAGATAAATATCTTGGGCCGCGGCCGCGGGCACCTGCGGGGCTCAGCCGCACGGTGCCGTGCCGGGAGGCTGCCGCCGCCGGGGGCCCACCGTGGTGTTGCGCCGTCACGTCCGGAGAGAGGGAGAGACGAAGGGAAGGTGGGCGGGGACGCGGGCTGCGGTGCCGATTTTTTTTATTTTAACACTTTTTAAAACTATTTCTAATTTTAACACTGTTTTTTTATTTTTAAATCTAACATTTTTTGCCGCGCCTATTGTCACGGCGTGGCCAAACAACGCTGCCGCGCCATGCATGGCGGCGCGGCAAAGGCGATAACGTGGCAGGGACACGGGCCCTGACCGGCTGGGCGCGGCAGCGCCGCGTCATCGCCCACGGCGCGGCAGGGCCGACTTAATGTCGCGCCACGAGCCTCCCTCCCTCTGCCTTATGTCGAACAGAGGTGAGAGCGCCTGTGCCACCCCCTCCCGCCTCACAGAAGCCTGCCGCCGCCCGGCCCTCCCTGCCTGTCTCCCTCCCTCCCTTCCTCAAGCTTCTCCTCGGCCTCGGTCACGGTAACGATGCTCTTATTTGTCGTTTGAACGGTGGATTCAAAGATTATGAATGGTTGCTAGGATTTAGAGGATAAGTATATTTGGGCTAGGGTTTGGAGGAAAATATTAGTTCAATTTTGCCATTGTTAAGGTTAATTAGTTAGTTAGAAGCATGTTACTATGTTTAGTGTGAGGTATTATTTTAGTTGTAATGCAAATGGTTCTCCTTTACATTAATTTACGATGTTTTGATTGATGTTAAATTACAACCGTTTTATTAGATGCAAGACATGTATCGGGAGCAGTTGTGGTGAAAACAGGGTCGTCCTAGAGAATTG